AGGTGGTGGATAGTTGTGGTAGAAGTTGTAGTTATTGACCACCATGCAGCGGTGATTCTCAACTTCATGATCAGAGACGGCGGGATTCAGATTTACTACAGCTCCTGATGCGGCGGAATTTGCTTCTAGGTCTTCGCTAGCTGTCTTCAAGATAATTCAAGTCATTAGCAATCATAAATAACAAATTGGATATTCGGAGTTAATACAATCTGTTCCTGACGTCCTTTACGGAGCTTCTTCACCTGCGCAAAGACAATACGTACCAAAAACGGATGCAAGGACTCCAACTATAGCTATTACTTGATCCCGATCTAGGCTCCCGTTACTATTGCTGCGAGGGTGAATACTGTGCATCGGATTTAGCGAGTTTGAAAATACCAGACTAAATAAGTTAACGGTTCTTCTGTGTTGTAAAATATATAAACAGAGGAGGATACGGAGACAGACTATCTAAACGCAGTGGACAGCTAAGCCACTTTGGCAGAATCACGGATGACTTTCCGGGTGGCTAGAGAAGTCTAGTTTATTACTGTCATTACGTAAATCATGCTTATATAATTACAGAAAGCCACAGCACAATTGGGTTTTACAAAACCCAATCTCCCACATGCTCGCTCACTCGCACCCCAACCGATCAAAACCCAAGCATGGTTTCGACAGTTTATGGGATGCGCGCTCGTTAACTAGCGAGAGAGGACAAACCCCTAGCCGGCGTTAGAAGGGAAATAAACTTAACCCTCTGAGGAATCGTGAGCTTAAGGCCAAATTGGGACAAAGTTTCACTGCATGTAACTGGTTGCCAGCAGGCTGGCTAGGCCCCGAATGTTTCTGCTCTTCTTTGAAGTCTACCTTGCGAATAATTATGGATTATATGTTGATATATATTAACTTTTTCCTCAATAATCGTGGGGTAATCGATACTGGGGTGCCTTCGGCACCTCCTCCCCCTCCTCCCCCTTTCCGGAATCCCCTTCGCTCTCTCCCCCCCCCAAAGTTGACCTAGTAAAAGGGACTGAGTTCGAGATTTATATGTGCCAAGGAATGACTGCCAGAGACTAGCTACGCCGGAAGATGCTCCCAGGCTTGTGATGGATTTGGCTGAATAATCATTGACTCCATAGTGAACTAGGCTTAGATAGGCAACTTTGTACATTCTACCCGCGACCCCCTCTGTCTCCGACATTCGGGGCATTTTGGTTGGTTAGATTTGCCAGTTAATGCGGAAGAGTGCGAAGTCTAAAGTCTAGGTACAATTGTTTCTGTGCAGTGTTTACAGTGGTTTGCCGGTTATCTGGTTTAAACAGTTTGTACTCAACCATTTAGGGCGCGTTTGGCAACCACCTAAACGGAGGTTAAGACCCCCAAATGCCGTTACGCAACACACTTTTACCAAAACTCATATCAAAAATCAGCCTGTTTGGCAAGCCACTTTGTTAAGGAAATCTCGTGTTTGGCAGACCAAAACTCTGTTTTAATATTTCTCAGTTAGCAATGTGCTAACAAGACTTCCGCTTAACGTAGTTTCTAAACCACACTTCCCCTAAACGCGCCCTTAATTTAATAGTTGGTAGAGAATTCTTACCTCCTTGTATAAACAGCGGTTTAAACAATTCATACAAACCGGTTCGTGGGCTCAAACACTGCACTTAGTCAGCTGGAAGACCCTGTTCGTGCGGACACTCGCATGCCAAGAAATAGAACCGCGGTTTAGGTGGCTCGACGTAAACAGTTGGTACAGTCGTTCACAGGGTGAGAACGATGGGAAAGATCGCTTTGGCAGCTTGCCAGATTAAGAACCTTGGTTCGTCTTCACCCAGTGTTCGTCCTCACCCCGTGAACGACTGTACAGTTGTCTTAGAATTCGAACCGGTTTGCACCTGAATTCTGGGTACGGTCCCAGGAACGAGGTTCGTATTGCCGGACTGAGACTACATGTAGGCACTCCCATTTTCAAGCTTTCCCTCGCCACCAATTATCAATTTGCACGAGCTCTAAGGCTCCAACGCCCTAAATTAATAAAAATTCTGGATACGAGTGGGATTTAGCAGATTTTTGAGTGTTTGGATACACTGTTCAAGGGGCTCGGGAATCACGATTCTGGCAATTCTACTTTTTCTCTAAGCATCTACAGAGTTTCCTACGTAGCGAGCATACAGGATACCGAGCAGAGAGGAGGAATATTTGTAGGTGAATGCCGGCCTACTTGCGTGTTCGCCTCACTACATGTCGCGCGAAAATTCACACCATATGCACAATCATCTTGAATGAAGGTTGTTTGGATCACAAAGTACATGAAGATTGCGGTTAGTGTAGATCCGTATAGAGGAGCGCTGAACTACATACATATGTATATGTAGTTCTTGGACATAAGTCGCCGTCTTCGCGCCAAAACACACGCCAAAATGGGCAACCTCCCTAACCTCTAATTCTTTATCAATTACCACAGAACCTTCAGGATAGGGAGATACACTATAAAATAACATATATTTCAAAGCGTAAGTTTGTTCAACAAACACGTGGGAAGTTATGTAGCTTTGAAGCAGCCCCGGCGCATTTCCTGAAAATAACCGAACAAAATTCTCTACCATTAATTCTACAATGAATATTTTTGAAATTCAAGACTACCAAGTGATTCTCCTAATAATTAAGTTGTACTAAACTAATTGGTACAAGTTATATCTTAAAATGGCGGGTTCTGGAGCTATTATAAAATCGCCGATTTCGGCGTTTTTTGGTGTGGTTTTGCTTCGCGACGGTGATCTGTCATGGCACTGTAGCTACATGTATGTACATGTAGTCGTATAAGTCAAAACTTTCCAACCTCAGATCTTCCCCCAAACCATGGCCATGAGTGCCGGTATAGAGACATATACTTCAAGAAATAAATATATAGATCTACCCATCAAACCCTAGAACTGTAGGTTGTACTCCAGTACTTCTACAGCCATTAATTATAGAAAATTGTTTAGCTTCATATATAACGATAATTTACGCCCAGGCCCCCAATATATAGAAATGACAACATAATACCACGCGAGTCTGGCCGGGCCATGGCGCCAGCCACCGTATCTCAAGAAAATTATTAATCTGTGCGGTGGGTTTCTAGCTTTCTTTCGAGTATTGCAATGCCAAATTTGCGAAAGAAACGGCGTGACTGGTCACGCCGATTGGTTGGCCTACGTACCTCGCGCGGCACCAGTGACCACAGAATTAACCATTTTGCATGCCTATATTATAATTAGATCCATAGACCACCAGGGTATATTTGAAAGTTTTATTTTGGCTGTCCTAAATGTGCTCATGTACATACTGGTAAAACCTCTCTCTACCCACGGGCTTGGTAAATGCAATGCCATTGGAGTCATGAGTAAATGTAGTATACAGCTAGTAAAGTTGTACATGTAGCAAGGTCGAGATCGAGAGATCTGGCTTGCATGTACTCGTAAATTCATGACGTTTCTGAACACGACTGCTACTGCATACCATACAAAAAAGCGCTAAATCCACCTTTTTGTATATCATGCAATATTGGTCGTGTTCGGAAACGCTATGAAATTACGAGTAGTCTCTCACACACACACCCCCCCCCCCCCCCTTCCCCCTCAAGGACGTAACCTAAGCCACATACTTAAGCCACATGCATAAGACTAGGAAACTTGGTGACACTGGAGTCTTTTAAAGATCTGCCCATTCAGCAATAATTAGAATAAACTTTGCCAATTCATCCGAAACCTACATAACTACATTGCTTTGACCAATTGACGAATACATTTAGTTATCTACTTAGGTGTTCAGTAAAATGTGGTGAAAACAGTTATTGCCACGGGGCATTTTTGACTGAATGCCTAAGTATTGACTAATACAGGGGGTTTTCATAAAACCCTTAGTACATGTATGTACCTACAGTACCGGTACTGTAGGTCCATGTCTCAATTACTACATTCTAAATGCTAGTAGGTGTACCACATGGATCCGTATATGTCGCCCTACTCTGTTGGTGTGCATAGAAAAACATACATACAGGGTATTTGAGGCTCCAATAGAATACCCATGAAACCCCTCCTTCTATTCCCCCTTACCCTTCCAGTATCCCCTCACTCACTCATCTCTTTTTATTCTGTAACCACCAAACTAACCCACCAGCCAACCATCACTGAAACAACGTCCATATCTACCTAACTTGGTTTATTCTGCCCCCGCCTACCTATTCCGCTTACCTCACCATATCCGGACCCCTACCCTCCCCAGTCTTGTTGAAGAATACCGCATGGTAAGCGTTGCTTTCCTGTCTCTATTCCCCCTCCACCTTGCACTCGGATTTACATATAGGCCAGCTTGTTTGGTTACTGACTATGCTTGTGGTTGGATCCGCCGCTTTCTAGAGCTATACTCCATCCCAGAGTACTGCAATATCGCAGTTCATTGCATTTACGGAATGCTCGGAACGAACAGCTGCGAAGGTATACTACCGATCCCTACAGATCCATTGGCGAAGGCGCATGGATGAATGATAAAGGCGAGGCTGACAAAGTGCCTCTCCACTGTGGTATATTTGGTATATTAATAGTTCCTCAAAACACATTCATGGAACGTAGAAGTCGCTGTTGATTCGTAAGTAAAGTCCTATTTTTCTCTGTCGCGGTTGGAATTACTCGACGGTTGTATGGTGCGCATTATAATTCGCGTATATCCTGCTTGCTTCCTTTTCTGTTATTCCACCCCGTCCCTTGGTCAAGCGAACTCCGCATCACTATCGTTGTCGTTGGCTTGTTGTTGGCTGATGGTGTTGTTGTCAATTGACCGCGGCCAGCCTACCCCACACTAACACCCCGCAATCCACCACCTGTCGTCACCGTCGCTCCCTCTTTCTCCCCTCTCACCCTTCCTTCTTCTGTATTTGCTCTGCAGGAGGGACTTAATCTTAGATCTCCACGTTTCCCCACAGCTCTATCGCATAATATATCAGGGCCTAAATACCAGCTCCCCGCTATTTCTCTAACATGTCGCGCCGTCTGAATAGATACTTCAACTCCAACAACACACCTACAGCACCCGCAGCATCTGCAAGCTCCACTTCCAACTCTACAGCACAGCTGAACAGCATCTTCGATAAATACCATGGTAACCACATCTCACCGCTAGTCGCGTGACCCGAGAATTCAGTAAGCTAACGTCAGGACCCGGAATCTAGAGGCTGGCGATCCACCTAATATCATTGGCGTCAACGGCGCAATGAGGTACCTCCAAGATATTGGTATCGGCCTAGAAGAGCCGACCGTTCTCGTCGTTGCAGAACTCTTAAAAGCTCCTACCATGGGGGAGTTCGCTCGGGAAGGATTCGTTGACGGGTGGAAGGCATGCGGGTATGCTTTCCCCACACACCATGTTCACACTATTTCGTATGTCTGACAACTGCAGCTGTGAAACCCTCGATAAACAGCGTGCGCGAGTTCCCGCTCTCAGGAGCTCTTTCGGCAACGATGAAGCCGTATTCAAGAAGGTCTACCTCTTCACCTACAACTTTGCACGCTCTCCAAACCAGAAATCCCTCCCGCTAGAGTCCGCTGTGGAGTATTGGAAGTTACTGTTCGCGTCGCGGTTTAAGGCGCAGATGGATAATTGGATCGAGTTTTTGGAGACGGAGTACAAGCGTAGCATCGCGAAAGATACGTGGAACTGCATGTACGATTTTGTCCAATTAGCGGATGCGGACCCAACACCGGAGTTAGCGAGCTACGATATTGATGGTAGGATTGATCGACCCAATATTCCACTTATAGGTGATATTATACATGAAATTGGCTGACTGGCGAATTATCGATATTACCTAGGTGCCTGGCCTTCAATACTGGACGATTTTGTAAATTATGTCCGTAAGAAGCAGGGAGCGAGTGGGATGGACACATCTTGATTCTGCTGTCCCTCTTACTGTGCTCGGGTTTTCTTTTTATCAAACCCAACTTTAGCATATTAATGCTCGAGAAATCTATTTTTTCTTTTGTTTTCTTCCCCCTGTTCGTTGTTTGTCAGGGCATCAGAGGCTTGTGGAGCTGATTCAGTGTGAGTGGTAAGATAAACTTGTTGGAGTTAGACGAATGCATATCCTGCGTTTGAGTTGGATGTGAGAAGGGATTCAGTCGAGGGGAAGGTTGGATGAGCATGGGTAGGGTTAAACAAACCAAACCATGAGCACTTGCAATTCAATGGAATTTTTCTTTTCTGGCTACTTAATCTCCTTATTTTCTCTTTATTTATTTTTTGCGGATATCTACCCTGGGGCTTTTTTATGGTCTATTTTGGGCTGGATACATTGCGACTCATATGTCATTTAGAATGTCTTGCTACTTATTGAATGGTGTTTCAGCTTCTGATCATGAGTTATGATTTGAATTTTGTAGGGCCTGGATGAACATTATTGTTTCCAGCTTCCTCAACTGGTTAGCTAATTGATTAGTTTGTTGGTGGGACCTGACTTCCCTTGAGTCAAATTGATTTAAATGTAAACTGACAGCCATCCATATGATACAGTACAAGTGCATGTAGATACAGCTAATCATGACAACCGCCATGATATAATGACTACAGATAGCATTCAACAGAAAAGACTGCTATATGTGGCTAGTAAGTTGCGCTATAATGATTTACCCCAACGCACTCTAGCGCCGGGAATATTCAAGCACACTACTGCAGCCGCCTGTAGCCCTGGGGAATACAGTTTCCGGTAGAATTATTGCGAAAGTCAGAGGTAAAAGAGTGGATTTTGTTGGTCTGTGCTCGTAGCAAAAAATCTTTTAAGGGCCAATAGGACTATCGGGTCACGGGGAACCCACTTTCGCAATAATTCTACCGGAAGCTGTAGAGTATGATAAGCTCGGGCCATGCAGAGCACCTACTCGCAGCAGATAACAAGTACCCGAAAATGCAAGCCCTAATCTGCAATTACCATTGGAGTAGAAGTCAAAAATACACCAAAACCTTGCAGCTACATTTTCGGGTACTTCAGGCCTGTTGCGAGTACATACATGTAAGTTGCGTATGTAGACCTTGCTCGGTGGAAGCTTTATCCTGGTAGAAAGTGTATGTAGCTCCGGCCAGGGGTAAGTTGATAACGTGCACGTTACATGTAGTTACTACCAAATCACATGGGTGGTTGTCTCAAAAGACAGAGTGATTCCACCCAGGCTTCTGGTACCGAGCGTTGGGATCTTGCGTTTTGGTAGACCTAGGAGAGCCGATCGAACCAGCGCATCAGTTAGACTAACGCACCAATATCCAGTTGACGCCAGTAATTAAGCTAACAGTGGGAATGTGAGGTCGAGCCCCAACTAGGGTCACTACCTCGCCACAGAAGAGACCCATGGCCCCAAATATATACATGTGTCCATATATGCGTGCGTAGATACATGTAAATATGGCGCAAGAAGTTACGTCTTTCGGGCGTCGGTAAGACTACAAGGTTGGCTAAACCTAAAAAGCACCAACATGCAAGATAAGGAGTTGCAATTGTGCAACGTTATATAGAGTAGTATCTACTCTATGTTGTCACGTCACATCTTCCCCATACATGACTTTAGCTATAGTGTCTAGTTAACTTGCTTGATGGAGCGTATATCTGGAAGGATAGGCCTTCATTGAGCTTACAATGGCCTTTCAATTTTGGCTCTATAGACCTAATTGCCAAGTATGTTGTATCCTAGGGCCCGAGAACTACATGGACTTGCATTTTCGATTGGCCACCTAGCTAGATTCTGGTAATTACGCAAGAAACCAAAGATTTGAGCACGCGGAGCGTCATAGTCATGTTCAACGACGAGGTGGAATTAATTAAACGCACGATGGCTCAGATGATATAATCCAAACAACCTAGCAATTTAGCTATAGTTAAAACAACACTACATGTATGTTCATGTGGGGCGAATTTAATGATTCAGCACGCAAGTTATTCCGTTGCACCTCAAGACATTATAAATTAATACGTATATACTAGTACTGTGCTTTATTTACTCCCACTATTCCGCCACTGCAGAGATCATACATTAATCTTGGTCGGGGCCACCCAAGCCAGCTGCCAGCCCATGAAGAAAGACTCAACCGGCAATTATACTACTGTTTCGTTACTACGTACGAAGACAACCTATGATTCTGTGGGAGTGAAACATCACATATATATATGGTGGACATGAGAATTGGTTTCTAAAGATATTTTCGAGACGGTTGCTAAGTGGGAAATTCGGTCATGAAATATCACTCGCTAAATCAAAACCAATATGCATGATGATTGATTGGGTGTTTGATTGATAATTCATTAAGGTTGGCATATTATATTATAATATAAAAGAGTATATGAGGAATATCTTAATCTTCTTAGCTGATTTACTTGACTATCGTATTCAGGTCCATTTATACGTATAAATATATGCCAAGGCTAGAGCCAAGATACTATGACTCCATCTTGACATATTTATATCCATAGCCTTCCATAGACTTCACAAATCATGAGGCTCGACAGGTAGAACACTGCTCCCGGGCGCCGGGCTCGCACCAAGAGTTTTAACATATGAAGAGGAGGCAGTACTCCGTTATAACATTACACAAAACATTAGTCTTGAGATTCTCAATGGTAGCATGGAAACCTCAAGTTTGTTTGAGATGACCTAATCAGGTAAATGAATAAGAGCACGCAGTTCATTTAGGCTTACAATCAACGTTGTGGGTTTTGGGTTTTTTCAGGTAACGAACAGGACTAAAGATTCAATTGCTGATCTATTTACCCATAGCAAATAGATTCGTTCACTCAGTACAGCCTTTCCTATTACTAAACACATTTAGAGTGATTCATTTGGCGCGAAACCTTGGCCATGGCGTGAGGAAAGGGTGTATTTACTGATTCGTTTACATAGATAGTAGAGTACGTAGAGGATCAAGCGCACATAGAACATTCGGGTAGCCAAACTTCTGTAGAAGCTTTCTTCGCGGGCATTGGCTTCAATTGACACAAGATAGTCCTTTACGAGTTTATTGGTAACTGTATCCAGGCCTGGAATTGATACATTGATATACTGTACCGTGTATGTAGAGTACATGTAGAGTGTCCATGGTGTGCGCAGATCACTGGGACTCAGGTTGTCTCAGCCATAGGAAGATACCTGTTTGTCGTTGCTCCAAAATCGACTGTGGCTAGACTACTCTAGACATAGAGTACTCGCGCTGCTGGATTGAAGCCGACCAGACAAAAAAGGCGAACGATCCAAAGATTAAAGGAAAGGAACTCTTATTGGCTGCCAGATCACTCGCGAGTAGGTGTGGCGCATGCATAGCTAGCGCTACATAGCTATCGTGTTCTTGCGCCACAATTGTGTTCCTTTCACCACGTTGCGCACGTGAACGGCCAATATCACTTTGCTATGTATTAGAGGCTTTCAGTTGATCCCTGTTTTCCATTTTCAAAGTGAAAAGGAAACTCCTGTAGCCAAGAGTCTGTCCGAAGTGCATTGAACTATGGACAAACAGAGCAGGTGCAGACTGAGAAATACTCGAGGACGGAATATTTAGCATTAAGTATTCATCAGAAAGTGACATGTCAGCTGCAGAAGCAGACGCAACTTTAGCTGCATGAGTTTTCCTTTCACTTTGAAAATAAAAATTCGGGTCAACTGAAAGCCTCTATTGTTGGTATCGTCATGATGTATCCAAGGGCTGTGATTCTTGTTCCTGGCTACTTATAGGCTCATTGCTTGATGCAGGAATCAACGGTGTGTGTAGTGCATGTGGTGTACCATGACAGGTCTCTACATGTAACCAAGCTCGCGATCGTACTACCCAGCCCTCCTACTGGTAAGCAGCTTGCTGCTGGTAGAGATGGGCCCGAAACTAATCCCTACCCGGCTGGGCCCTTTAATATGTATTACGGGCAAATCGACTAGGTATATGTACATGTAGGTTATGTATGCACGTTTTAAGCCAAGAGACTCGTCGTCGAAAACGAAGCACGCTAATTGGCCTAAGATTTAACCCTAACCCAGAGTAAATATGGAATTGATTAGGTAATTAAAGTCTGCATTGGAACCCTTCAAGATCAGGTCGACAGGGCAGAGAGAAAGGGTAGTGGAAAATTAAAGGTGCTGGGCAGAAGGTACTCTTTATGTATATAAGATACCAATTTTTTGTTCCGAGAGTACTCATATATAGCGAGGTAAGCTTTCGTAACATGACGCAGTGTCCGATCCGATCCGCTACATGTAGGATTCTGGTTGATAACATTCTATAGCTGTCAACCTTTAAGGCTTAGTGGTACATAGAGGACATGTTGCGGCTATCTCTTCGCAAATGGGGCGTGCTCATTGGGGCCCAACTTTGACTGCCGTCTTTTAATACCATATCCTAAATATTAATCCTAACAATACTGTTTGAATCCCCTCTATTTAAGGTGGGGATGGAGCCAGGGCTATCAAGGTTCTGGAGAACTAAGTAGCCATTGGTGTTGTGATCCGCACATCCTTAAAGGTGCCACGTCAGTATTTTGCTGGTGCATTTTCTAGTCATAAAATTGCACTTCTGGGCCAATGGATAGACGCGGTAACCTGCATTGAGAGAAGGAGAGGAGGGAGTGGGGGAGGAGAAGAGGGAGTGGGGGAGGAGAAGAGGGAGGAGAGCACTATACTAGACGGACAGAGCCGACAAGTAAGTAGATGAACAGGGCAGGAGAACTAAACTTCTGGCAGGTAAAAGCTTTCTTTCCTTACTTCGATATCCAGGAGCAGGCCTTGAGCCGGGTTTTCTCACCATTTATTGACCAACCAATAACACATCTGCTCCAGTCGGGGGCCGGCCCAGTGTTAAATACTTCAGGCCGGTAGGGATAAGCCTTTCGCAGCGAGGTAACCCCCTTCAGTTACCCCTGCTCTTGAATTCGAAGTACTACATATATATACTGACATAGTCGAGACCGACGGGTCCCTTCGTTCTCTGTTTTCGGAAACTATGGCGTGGGGGATAGCTATGGCTCGCTGTGGAAGACAGTGTTTTTGGCCATCGGTGCTAAGAACTTGTGGTATGGGGAGTAACTGGCTCCTGGTATAGACGTGGGGGCATGGATGGTGGAAGAAGCTTTGCACGGTTACTCCCAGCGCACATCAATGCCGCAGTTCACCGCCTTCCCTGCTGTTTAGTAGGCCAAAAGTGAGGGGTGTGCCTGGGGGTTGAATTGACCACCTCCGAGCATTTTGTTTCAACCATCATATACCTTTAACTTCTATTACCAACTGCTCGGGACTGCTCGGCCTTGTCTTAGGCTGTGGAACCATCTGCGGGGACCGGCCGCAGCTGCGCTCGCTGTGGTAGACGGGATTCTTGGCTATTGAGAAGTTCTTCGGCCGCCGAGTACTTGTGGCGAATACTCTTTGCTTCAAATTCAGCAGCCCTCTACGCAGCCCCTGCACCAAAAGTCGCTCGAACGTGACAGACTAAGGGATGGTCCCGGGTTGTACGCAACCCACAGAGCTAGGCATCGCTAGTTCTTTGGGGGTAGTAGATTATATATATCTTCTGTCCAGCCAGCGAAGTTTCAATTTCGCGCGGAGGGCGCCCCAGTCAGGTTGCTTCGCCAGCGAGTTGAACAGGACAGGCTTCGTGGGAGGGACACCATTCATGCCGAAGAGGGTATACTTCGTGTATTATATATAAGATCATGAATTTAACACCCTTCCTACTTATAATTTGTGCCGTTCAATATCGTTACATATCGTAGTGGTAAAACTCCGAGATAATTTCAAATAATACAAAAGTAATACCTATAATTAAAGTATCGATATATACATATCGCTGGCTAAATGCTATATATGACTTATTTATATTTTTGTAGAGTAGAGAAAATTAAAGAATGCGCCTCGAGTCCCTAAACGTTTAAACGTGTATATAACCAAATCTAGCGAATATTCGAATGTAGTTACGTATACCGCACTCGCTGGTGTCTATTGTAAGAGAGTTGGGCCTTGATTATAGCGAGAAGGAGTCGGTTTTAGGCCGAGAGGGTTAATGGAACATGCTTACCTTAGAAGCCAAAGCTACTCCGCCTTTTTCTCGTGTTCTCCTGCGGGTGGTGATGTGGGATCTGGGGTGCTAGGTATCTCAATCGGGGCAATTTGAGTCGACTCTAGATCTGGGGTAGATAGGACATTAAGACAGCTTCTGTGTATTAGCATGGTGAGCTAGTGGGCCCATACCAGAGAGGCCAGATAAGCCAACCTTTGACTATTGTCATTAACCTTATCAATCCTATGAACTATTGATCTTCTCATTTCAGATAAGCCCCCGTTTGAAATAGTGCTAAGGTCCCCTATCGTATCCCTACTCAAAACTGCCTGAGGGTAGGCAATAGCAAGAGGATTTGCAGCGTCTGTATTGGGCTTTGACTCGGAGTAGAAACTGAGGTGAGCTTCGCGTATGTGGAATATATTTCCGCTTGTAACAGGTGCCGGCGGTGGGGGAGCACCCCCCTCGCGACTTTCTTCGTCACTAGTCTCTGGTCTGTGTGTGGCTCCCTAGCCTCGTATATGTATATTAGACCCTTAATTACTAGTGAATGGTGATAAGGCGAGAGAATTAATAAGAGTTGTTGACTAGCGCATACCTTTTTGCGTGCTTGAAGGATACATTTAATGAAGAATATAACGAGCGGCGTTATGATGGAGAGAATACCCAAAACCGTGCCGATAATTTCGCCGGTAGTTAACTTTGAAGGCATTCTTCTAGAGAGATCCAAGTTATCGGTACGCTACTGTATAGTGCGCAAGTAGCTCAGTGGTGGTGAACACAGAAATATTGAAGCTAGTGAATGATAAACGTGATCACTGTATGTAATGATGAACTTTGATTTTGAAGGGGTTTGAGGGTATTTATAGATAACTGCGCGGTCAATATTAAAGGACGAACCCAGATGAACGATTGGCTCACCAGATGAATGATCACGGCCGCTACGTCACCATGCAGGGTGATATTGATTAATCGCCCTCCTCCTGGTGAACTTCCACCGGCCATGCATGACTACTGGTATATATACCCTAACCAATCTTTATGATGAACGAAGGACCTAGTATACTACCTACTCACGGGGGGTAAGTTAACTACAATCATCAAGGCTGGATTTCGAGTATAGAAGATAACTCTGTAAGTACGTGTTTTGTTGTGGCTATCATCATAATCGTTGATTCGTAGGGTCGAGTTTAGCATGATTGCCAACGTCGTCATGACCCCTCTGCGATCCCCAATTGCAACAACAGGTTGAGACTCGTCTAAAATCTAGCAGCATAACTTGTAGATACCTCATATGTCGGGATTTATTCTATCCTACTCAATATTATACCCAGCAGCATGTAGACGCAGCAGTTATTAAGTAGTAATGGATATATGTCCAGATATCTATGTATACGTAGTAGCTCTCAAGGACATCTTCCAAATCAGATACCTAGCGATCATACAAACTTTTGCAAAACTCTACTGATTTTGCTCGAAACCACGGAAAAATCAAAGAGTTTCCTGCAAACGGCCGATACCCACGGCCGGTGGTGCAGAGCATCAAAACTGATCCCATCACCCCTCTCTCGCGGGGTCATATGGGCAAGACCGAACCAGAAGTAGCCCCTCGTGAATACCTCGCCTATATGCCAGTACAATACTCACTCAAATTCTCCACAGCCCATATCAGAGCCGCATGCTCTGCCCCCAAGGCTGAATGGGTTAGGGTTCTTCTTGTGCCAAGATTCCAATCGTGAGGCTCAACTCTAAGACATGCCAGCGAGGCTGTACGAAACAACATCATGACTCTAATTCATGAGGTTCCCCGCTCAGAGACGGTACAGAGAAAGAGCCTTGTTTGACAGTTTGAGAGTTTGATACAGTTACGCTATCATACATTACTACTTTTTTATAGATAGGCACTAAGAGAATTGACTTGTCCGTAATACAACCAAAATTCATAACTAGGAAATGATCTAGCACTGCAATATCTTCGTGCCGTAAAGAAAGAAAAACAAACTCAATCCGCTGAATCCCTAAACTCGTTTCTCGATGTAATTTTGATCCTTCCTGTCGCTAGGTTTCCCTTTTCTCCCTTAGAAAGAGGACCCCAAGCTCAACTCCGGCTTCACAATCACTATCTTCTCAACGCATCTGATGGCCAAGTCCCTACTCTCCAGGGTGGTAACAGACCCTGGAGACTAGTTACCGGGTCTCGTTCGATGCCTCCCCTAAGTACCCTTCGGGGATGGATGACTGCCAGAGTGATTGGAATGTCTGGATGATGTCCTGTGTAGAAGTTGAAGATGTTGTGATTTATAACGTTCCCGTTAGATGGATTTGGGGGACTGGGCTCGTCGGAGCTGGCAGCTGTGGGGGACGTGATTTCTAGATTTGAGGTCTCAACATCGGGAACGACGGCGGTCTGTAGCTGTTCAAGTTAGATCCTAAAGCAAGGTAGAAAGAAGTTAGTAGAGAGTGCTTGCCTCTTGAGCTCGTCTGCTGCGTACACATTTGCGGATTTGAAAAAATAGAAGGACGAGACCTGGGACTCCAACGACGAAAGTGACCAGAAGCGGGACTACGGTGCCTACCTCGCTAAGCTCCATAAAGCCAATCGGTGTATTATGTAATCGTGAGGATGGATGCCAAGGGATATTGAAGTTGTCGATATTTCAACGCAAGCCTTTCGGAAAGAGTGGAAAAAAACCAGGGAATTGTGGTGAGGTAGATTAGTATGCAAGGGGTGGTTAAAAGCGTAAAAGAAAGGCTTTTAAGTGGAATATTCAGGATATCGCTCATTTGCGTTGCGAGTGATTGTTTGTGAACCTGACCCTGGTCGGCCGGTGACGTGAACACGTGAACACGTGAACTTTGTAAATTCACCACACAATAGATCTAGATATCAATGATTTTTCAAGATAAAAAAGCTAGAAACAATAATGAAGAGATTATCTTGACAGATTTTTGATATCTATCATGGTTTTGAAGTTATAAGCAATTGAAATTGGCTGTTTTTGTATGGTGCGAGAGGCCTTGGGGGGCTACCTTGTAATCCCTGTTCACACCAGTTCAGTATTGTAGCCCTTACAGCCATAAAGTCGAGTTAAAGGTGAGGCTCTTCAATGCCCGCCCCCCGGAGCTAATGAAAGAATTGATTGAACTGGTGTGTACAGCCGCATTCGAAAGGTTTTAGCACCTCCGGGCCAAACTCACGAGGCAGTCCTTTCTGCTTTCCAATTCTCATATTCGAGACCGTTGTCAGAGAGAGCTGCAATGTCTCTATTGCGGTCATACCTGTCAATAATTTGAGTATGGGCGAGTGCTATGGTTGTTGGCGGGCTACAATTCATGAATGACTCAATATAGTAGGGTGCCAGTACTTTTCGAATGCGGCTGTACAGGGTTGACAAGCTCGCCCTCTAAAATATTGGGACAGAGGCACCCCTGGGTGCTATAAGAGATGCAAGAGAAAGTCAAAGAGTGGAATAAGACAAGTAACGAGGATTACACCCTTCGAGGATGGGCGTGGTATAGGGGTGGCGGGGGGTTTGCGGCGTTGGTCGGGGCAGCAAACAATAGCGGTGTCAGACTTTGCCCGGTAGACGTGTTTACAGTGGGCAAGAAAGCTAGTGACAATTATAATTAGGCGGGCACTTCTACCGTTAAGAGATCAGGATGACTATGACACAATGCGGAGAAGCTACGAAGGGAAAATATACTTGGCCCGAGGGGCAAAGGGGGGAAAAGAGAGACGACACAAATTGTTTTTACATAGTTACTTTTCTTTCTTTCTTTATTGTTGAGATGGTGGTGGGAGTGATTGGGAAGTTCTGGGGCAGTGTGATATTGTCATAGACTACGGTCTGCATACAATTAATGAATTAAACGAAAAGAAAAAAAAAGAGAAAAAAAAGGCTCGCCCTCTACTCCCTCTTGCGCCATATGTAGATAGCACCAAGAGTGAACAAAGTGGAACAGTATTATGCCCATTTATACCCCCAAAAACGCAAACCTGCCTGAGCCGTGGCAGTGGGGGCATCAAGATGGCTAGGAAAGGGCCCTCTGATTGACCTTGGAGTCACATTGCGGCCACTTCCATACGCCGCCGTGTCACCTTTAAGACTGGGCGTACCATCCCCGCCGGCCAGGGATTATCTTTCGAGTACGTGATTGGCTAAATAGCATCGAAGTGTTCCATAAAGGTACACATCCCATGAAAGATAGCCAATTCATCGAGTTTTGGCGGTACTCAGCCTGGGCACTAGGAAGCTATCCACGTGTCCGCTACTAATTAGAGCACTGTCAAAGTTCCCGTGCTAGGAAACCTTTTTTTTCGACGGTCCAATGTTTTGAGACTTGACTCGCGCGACGTTATGCCAATGTATTCAAAGCTGCTCTAGAATTAATTTAGCTGCGATTTTGGGGGGATCTCTGGCGGGAGATGCTTCATCTTGTTTCCAATTTATATATTGGTTCCTAAGTTACCTAGCTCGGAGATGCAGGTACGTACTGCTTCATGTAAGTACATGGCAATTAAATGCGGTTCATTACTGCACGTAGCTGAGAAACCAACTAAGCTACAAGAGTCAGCTCTGAATGCTAATTTTTATTAATTCAGAATATTCACACACGCAACTGTGCCGTGCCATGCTTTCATTTCCCCCCCCGCGGCCCGCCTATTATACTACCGATGCATTTGATTGAGGTTGGGCACTGAGTCAAATGTACACATTGGCCAACGAGGAACAATTGCAAAGGATACCCAAAGTGCACGACTCAGATATCAAGATGGAATCTCAATTTTTATTTCGATGGTCACCAACCAGCCTGTCACATAATCTACAAAACACGCGCGACAAGAAATGATATCTAGACCTAGAGGTGAGATTCGAGTTCTCTCCGCGTCTATCTACCCCGCTAGCTAGCTGCCACCACTGCATTGTGCCTGCAATACCGGGTATCTATATACACATCCCCCGCCCCCGTCCCCCTCCCCGCTCCTACTTCATATTCCATATACTATTACTATCCTACACCCCCATTTCCCCTCTCCTACCCCCCCATCCACGCCGCCTCATTCATCGCCTCCTCCGCATCCTCATCCACAGACCTCCTCCTCGTCTTCGCCTCCACCGCCGAATACAAACTCTTATAAAACTCCCTCACCTTCTCATGCGCCATCACCTTCCGCGCATCGAACCTCAGCACCTCCAACCCCTCCTGACATGTCGCGCGCGACAGCGCCACATACGCCTGCCCCTTCTCAAACACCCTCCCCAGATCCACCTTGACGCGCTCCAGCGTCTGGCCCTGCGCCTTATGGATCGACAGCGCCCACGCGAGGATAAGCGGGACCTGCGTGCGGCTCGCCTGCACCTCGCCCGACGGCAGCTCGACCTTCCAGACCTCGGGCTGCACGAGGAGCTGCCGGGACGTGCCGTCGGGGAGCGCGAACTCGACGAGCGGCCAGGTGTCGGCGGTGGTGTTGGTCGAGAGGGGCTGGTCGCGCGCGGGGTTCTCGAGCGTGAGCGAGTCCGGGTCGTCGTGCGCCATGTCGAATGTCTTTTCGGACATGAAGCCGACGACGCGGCCGAGCGAGCCGTTGACGAGCGAGTCGTCGATGTTCTTGATGAGCATGACCTGCGAGTTCTCTTTCAGGCAGATGACCTGCGGGGCCATGCAGGTGGAGAGCAGCTTGGTGCGGTGCTCGATGTCCGTGATGCTGCCGGTGTCGATGGCGGTGAATTTCCGCTCGGTGCCTGAGAGCAGGCGCATCTTGCTGTTGTTTGCGGCGTCGACTTCCTGCCGCGTGGGGAAGAGCTCGGTGGCTTGGATGCCGTCGTCGTATTTGAGGGGGCGGGAGAGACGGCGGAAGACTGCGATCGAGGCGTCGGAAAGCTTGCCCAGGCGCATTTCGTTCAGGATGGCGGCGAACTCTAATTGGTCCATATCAACATCACACACTATCACTCGCCTATCACTCACCCAACACATCTGGACATGAGACATCACTCGGACACAAGCACGTGACTTACCAGGATCACGTTGCCTAAAGACTTGGGTCAGGCCAATGGTGTGCTCAATCGCCGTAGTCCACGTATTGGCGTCAAACGCAAACTTCGCAACCTTCCCATAATCCGGCACCGGCGGGAGCTGGAAAAAGTCGCCCGTAACCACCAACTGGATGCCCCCAAACGCCCTACCATTGTTCCTGATTGTCCTTGCGATGGCCTCGAGCTTGTCGAACAGCTCGCCGTCCACCATGGAGATCTCGTCGATGACGAGCACCTTGGTGCGCAGCCAGCGCATCTTGGCTTTGACGTTGCGCTTGATCTTCTTGACGAGGTCGGCCACGGGCTCCTTGCCGAGCCCGATGCCGGCGAAGGAGTGGAGTGTGACGCCGCCGATGTTGCAGGCGGCGAGGCCGGTGGAGGCCGTGACGGCGACTTTCTCGGATTCCTTGTCATTGTATTTGCGCTTAAGGTGGTTGATTACTTCACGCATTAGCACGGATTTGCCGGTACCTAGGGGGCGGCAGTCCAATTAGTGAAATTGGTCTTTTTTTTTTTGCAGAAACAGAAGAAGCAGAAAAGGCCGTGGGTTAATAATTGGTTTTTTTTTGCATTTTTAATATTTTCTTTTTTCTTCTTGATTGGGTTGCAAGGGCAGCGCCGGGAGCGGTAGCGGAAAGTGCACAAACCAGCAGATCCAGTAAAAAACACACTCTTCCCCGACTCCATCACCAGGTCCAGCACGTGGTTCTGCTCGTCACTCAGTGTTATCTTCTTTTGCTTTTTCTTCTTCTTCTCTCCCCCCCCCAGCACCGCCTCCTCCTTTGCGGCCCGCGTGCTCAGCCCTCTCCGCTGCTGCTCCATATTCTTCCGCGACGCCCGCTTAAAGTCGCTCGCCGTCATCTCCCACGGCGGTTTCGGCATCTCTCGCGGCGCCGGGGCCCGTTCGGTCCTTGTTCTTCTCGTCCTAGCTGTATGTGACGGCGGCGCCGCAACTGACTCTTCCCCGTCCTTTGCCCATGGAACCAACCGCCTCTTCTTCGGCACCACCGGCTCATCGTCCTCCCTCAAATCTATCACCTCCATCTGCTTTGACGTCTGCTGTGGCTGCGGCGGCGGTTGCTGCTGCCTCTGCTGCCTCGCCGGCACCTGCCCCCTCGCCGGCTGCCTCGGCATCGGGATCGGCACCGGCACCGACGGAGCAAATTGCTCCACGGGCGACGAAGACCACGGAAACGGCGCCGAGCTGCCAGGCTTCGGCTGCGACGACTCAATCTTTATCACCGCGTCCTCCTCCTCATCAATGCTGCTATACTCCCTCTTGACGGGCGTGGGGCTCCTCCTCCGCAAACTCGGCGGCAAGAAGCTCTTCGGCAGCGGCGGCGTGGGCACACGGAAGCTTGCCGGCGAGGCGGAGTACGCGGCGGGGGTCTCACGGAAGCTTGCCGGCGAGTCGGAGTGCACGGCGGGGGTCTCACGGAAGCTTGCCGGCGAGGCGGAGTGCACGGCGGGGGTCTCCACCTCGACTTCCTCGAGGACGATGGTGTCGTCAAAGTTGAGGTCCTGGTCGTCGTCAAAGTCGCCCTCGTCGAAGAAGACGGCCTCGTGGAGTGCTGTCAGCTGGGACTTGATCTTGGGGGATGTGTTAGCGGCGGTGGTGTGGGTGGGGGGTGGGTTGTCGTCGAAGGAGGAGGCGCATTCGAAGGCCTTGATGACCCGTTCCCGCGGCTTGGGGCGGACGACGTTTGTGGCGGCGGCGGTCTTCTGCAGGACGGTGGTGAGGGAAGGGCCGTGGGAGGAGGTTGTGGTGGTGGTTGTGGCTCGGGCGTGGTAGCGGCGGGGTGGGGCTTTGGGGGCTTTGGGGAACTTGGAGAACGCGTGGGCGAGAGAGGATTGTATGTTTTGGGGGGGGGCTGGCGGGGTGGGTTTCGGCGGTGGGCTGTTGGGGGTGAACATGGTCGTGAGGAAGGGGATTGGGTGGGGGAACGGTGGTGGTGATGGGCCCCGGGTAGATACAGCAGAGCTTGTGATGGCTGTGGGGGTTGTGATAGATGCTGAGGTGATGTTGGTGATGTTAGTGATGGTTGTGGGTGTGGGTGTTGTGGCAGAGTGGAGATGGGAGGAGAAGAGGAGTTGTGTAGCAGCAGCAGCACTGGCAGTGTCCGTGGATGATGGCAGTGATGGTGATGGCAGTGATGGTGATGGCAGTGATGGTGATGGCAGTGATGGTGATGGCAGTGATGGTGATGATGATGATGGTGGTGATGTGGAGAGCTGTAGTCGTCGACGCGAAGCCGACCAACCACGGAGAAGAAGACGTGTGTGTGAGACGTGGAAGTGCTTGTGCAGCAGCTGCAGTAAGGGTGGTTGTTGTTGCCAGTAGAACTGCTGCTGAAGGGGAAAGATCAACGATGCTTTCCGGTACGACCAGCCACCCATTCACGAGAGCACCAACCAGACCAAGAATGAAAAGGGGGGTGGGGGTGGGGGTGGGGGGTTAAACTACGGTTTTGTACTGACTGGGAATGTAGAGAAAACGCTGTCTGGGGGGGCAATTTGTCTGTGTCGACTCTCTTCTTCGGGCGGGGCGGGGGCGAGAAATTTGAATTGGGCGACGACGTTGCAGAGACGCGTCCGAAAAATCAATCACGCCAAGACGTTAAAGAGCATTTTCCCATTCGTGCCCGATGAGTTAGTGGCTTGACGGATGATCCCTGCCGCATAAGTGATAATTAACACTCTCTTCTGACCTTGACAAGACCTTATGCATGCAGTACCGGGTTCTAGCTAGAGTAATAACAGAGATGCAATATCATGGGGCCAATTTATTTATTTACAAACGACTGCCGTGGAATCGGTAAGCCCGCCAATGACCAGTTAGCGAGTCTCCTTCTGCTGCGTTGCTTTGCTGACTAACTGATGATTCGACAACCCGACAACTGCAACCACGCACCCGCCCTCGTGGGAGATGGGATCCAACTAGATTCAGTCACGGATAATCACTCGCGCGTACATCCCTACACCATCATATATTCTGAAACAATCTGATAAGATGTCTGTGCAGCATTAGTGGTTCGCCTAATACAGTTCAACCACACAATTTATGTCCCAACCATCATTTAGAAGAAATTGATAAATTAGATGAAAGCTTCTATCTAGCCACTGGTCCGTATGATATCATCTAGCCGATCTAGTATCGGTCATGGAATATCACTCGCAGCGACTTTAACTGCCATTGGGTTTGCCCCGACTATCATCTCTACGTGACTCGTCAGCGATCTGCATAGTGTCAATTGCAAGTATCGACAGGCCTATCAAGCCACGTGGCAGATCTACTTACTAGCCACCGCCGCGCCTTCTGCCTCGTTTCCGGGTTTTGAATATTAATCTTGATCCCAACGACCATTGTTGTTGTATATTACCGTGTAACGTTACCCTACAGCTCCTGCAATACAAAACCCTTGCTTACATTGCCAATCGGAGGGCCCAGAGAAACTTAAACGGCCAACGTACCAGTACCGAACTTGTTGTGCGTTATATAATCCAACTTCTCCCACACAACCGTAGATATCAGTGGCGGTTAGTAATCATGGATCACTGTCTATCACTCGGTCCACTCATCGCCTGTCACGTCATGCGCTTATGTTTTTTTTTTTTTTTCTTCATTGATTCGTGTTTTACGCTCATACTTCGATATAGTCTCGTTATCGGAGAACATTCCGGCTGGCAGATGTGGTGTTATGTTATATCCGCAGAGTCTTCCAAAAAAAACAGACACGTGCTAGGTCCTATTAATTGGAATTATAAACCCTTAAGTTACCAGAGTCTAGTAGAACAGCCAACTACGTAGTGCCAGAGCCACTCATTATCAGTGCAACATGAAACACGAGCCAATCCAACGGATATCTTAAAGCGCTTTAGCAGCCAGCCAGTCAAACCAGATCACAGACTATCACTCGGTATAGTTTTTTGCTCATTTTTTTTTTTTTTTTTTTTTTTTTTTGATTTGATTTGATTTGATTTGATTTGATTCGAATTTCGCGCTTAGGCTCCGCAATGATTCCAATATATATCGAAGAAAGGTTCTGGATGTCGCTAGACATTATGGGCATATTTGCAGTCTTCTAAAAAAAAAAAAAAAGATCGGGGAAGCATGATGGGGGCCAATTTTCACTCTCGAACTCTGGTCCATGCCGTCGTTATTGTTGCCCTCTTGTAGTAGTAGATGAAACTAACAGCGGTATTCGAGAAGATAAGAACATGATGAGACGTGTGTGTGTGTTTTCTCTGGTAAGTGCATTTAAAATCTGTTGGTAGTATCCCGGTTGTACACAAATTTTAATCATGAACTATCACTCGGGGGGGGGGCTGTTTCACTCCGAGTAGAGCGCTAAGCTTCCGGGCCTGATGCATTTAGCGCAGCACTAGTGCTGTAGTAGTCGCGTGTTACTGTTTTTTTGCGTAAGCATTGTTACAAATGCCGCATGACTGCGATCGCGAATATTGCTGCAGTAGTGCCCACGGCATAGTTTTGAATGCCCGTAGAACTGCTCAACCTTTACCCCTTCTTCTGTCGCGCGGTGTGCTTATTATACCCAGGCATAGTTTTTTTTAAATGCGACAATTCAAAAAATCCGCCATTTTCCCCCCTAAAAAAGAAAAAAAAAAAAAAGAAAGAAAAAAAAAAAATGCTGATTATCAACATGCGACTATGCAGATCTAGACCCATAATCACAGAGCTAGCTGTGCGATAATCCTATGATGGATTCTGTACGAAATTTACCCCCCCCCCCCCCCCCCCCCTTTTTTTTTTTTTGACACTGTATTTAATGGGTGCTGATTTAGCGCATCCAGGGATGTGATCGGCCTGATCAAACCTAGATATTATTTATATGTCAGTCTGTTCGGGAACTTAGGCAGACCACCGTGGAAGATCTAAATGCGTGCAATCAAACATATGCAAAGAGTCCATGTCCAAAGAATTGAAATAGCGCTAGTTAGTAGGTCCAGGAGGGCCGATACAGACGGCTCTTAGTACTGGCCTTCATATACACTCTCCGTCTAAACCGTGAGCGCGGAGTATTGGATATGGCAGACGTCGACTGCCCTTGTGACCTGATTGATCCACAATCCACTAAAGATCTGTATCCGGTAAAACAGACTATGATAGCCACATTTATGGCCAAATGGAGCGGGATTGTTTTTTCCAAACCAAAAGAAATCTTCATACGACCTGTTGTTCGCCACGAAAACACACATGGGTCAGTTAATGTACTGTTTCTGGCTGGACTCTAGTCTACCTATAGACCACAAACAAGCTGGATCGTATTGAATACGCCGGCAGAGTTCGACTGACCTCATGCGGTATGGTTGCCCTATTATCGAGGCTTCCCACAATCCGCTAAAAAAAAAAAAACCAATACCTTATTCAATATATCACGATAGCCACATTTATGGCAACACGAGGGGCCAGCAAATAGATTGATGTTGTCTTCCACACGAAAGGCCACCCAAGCAAGAAGATATCCCTTGGTAGTTGGTTGGAGATTTTGGCGTAGACTCTAGCAAAGCCAGGTGTCACGTCACCACAGCAACGGAATCCCTTAGGCCTTGTTCAACAACCAAATAAACACATATACTGTTATAATCCTTGGTTTGCATGCAAGATATCCTAATCCGGCGGTTATTAGGCCGTGCTGTTACCCCCTGTATCATAATTAGTTATTTGACTGACCTAAGTCAGTAGCTTACAATCGATAGTATCTGTGCGCGATAATCAACTGCCTTCACTCAATACCAAAGCCCCGTCTCATGCGTCCAAGAAGAGGCTATAGAAATCGACTTTTTTTTTTTTTTTTTTTTGGCTGCAATTGACCTGTAAGGGTAGCTAAATCATCTATGGATCTCTGAATACAGCATTCTAAAACGCCAGATTTCACTGACTCTAGTTAGGTAAAATATATAATCCGGGGAATAAGCCTTGGTTTGTAAGATTTCCTGACGCACGCTGTGATCTGGGGGTTAAAAGAAATAACGCCACGAGATAAGTGTTCTTAGTAGTAGTTTTTTTGCTGGTACTTTCTAATAGACGAGGCACCGGTTATCCAAGCACGGAATGAATTGTAAGCCGGGTACGAGATCCCCGTAGTAGGCCTACTCGTTAGAGGTCTTTTATCACCTGCATAATTCGTTTTGTTTCTCTGTGTCACGAAGCAATTGGTACTAGTAGTATTTGTACGGTCTATGCCACAAAGATTATCGCTCCATAGCGACACGATATGAGCAGAGTTATGCTCGCGCAGCCCTTTCTGCGAATAGTCGAGCACCGGCTACAATAGCGGGTTTTATCATGGGTCTCATGCGCCTCTGTCAGAGATATGCTCCCATATATTCCAAAAATAACCAAACAAAAGCCTTTCTCGTAATGATGGTGGCCATGTTTACCCAATTCCAGTCCGGTCCACCGGCGGCATGCAGCTTATAACTACTGAAACAGGCTGACTTTAGGTCCGTTGATATAACAAGCAGGTTCCAGTAGTGGTAACTTCCAGTAATAATAACTTCCAGTAATAGCATGCCCAAGTACCAACAAGCCCCAGTGCCAACCAATCTCCAGTAGTAATAACTCCCACCGAATAACAACTTATCGCGTCTTTTTCCGCGGCTCGGCACAACACGATATTATTCCGCCAGCAATTCGGCAGCGAATAGTGCATTACCGCTGCTGATCGACTCACTCGAGCCAGTCATACAATGCCATAGATCCGCCAGCGAACGGCTTAGACCCGCATATATTCCGGTAACGTATCACAAAGCACGAGTGACCCTCCATGAACATCACATGACTAATCCAGCCAATGATCCACATCTCGGCTGCCATTGGTCCCTGGTGACGCGACCATAAAATCCCGTAAAGACCCCTGATAATGATAATAGTTACATGTAGTTAGCATGTAGGTATCAAAGCCCCTTAGAGTCAGTTCCAAAGTAAAGCGCTCTGCCATACTTGTCGTGTTGGTGTGACGTTAACACCCCGAGTGATACCCCATGAACTGACTAATCCACCCTTCATCCAACCCTGGCGCAACGGTTTTTTTTCTCCGCGGATTGGTTCTGGCCGGAGAAGTAGAAGTCTTCCCTGCGCCGACGCCAGTAAACGAGACGAGACCCCGCTGCACCTGGGGTTCTTCTCTCGGCTGGCTTCCTGTTAGTGTTAGCGCGGCAGTTACTTTCAACCCGCTTCTAGATCCGCTGCCCAGTTGGCGGGGGCGTGCGGAAGACCTTCTTTTCACGACCCGGCTTGATTCTCCTTAAGTGGTGGTAGCGTGGTAGTTCATTGCGACTCGCTACAGGGTAGTAAGAGTCGTGCGAGGGCAAAGGTTTGCGGGCGTGTGATTCGGTGCTGGTGTTGTGGTTGCTTGTGGTAGAAAAGTAAAAATAACGATAAAAGACGAAGGAAGGAAGGGAGGAAATAAAGGGAAGGGAGGAGGAAATAAAGGGAAGGAAGGAAGGCGAAAGGTTGCACCTTTTTGTGCATGTGGGGGCCAAGGGACACTGAGCCAGAGGACCCTTACCAGACCCTTCCTTCCCCGCGCACCAATCCCCCGTAAGCACGTCCCCTAAGCACAAACACCCTGCCCTAGCCCACCACCCCAAAGCGGCACCTCGGTACCACCCATCTCTGATTGGCTCCCCCAACGTCACTCCACCACCGCACCGCCACACCGAGTGACACCCCATGACCCACCACACCACACCACACCGCACCACGCATCACGTGACCCGTCCAGTCACCAAGCAACCCAGCCAGCCAACCAGCCACCCCACCGCCCTCCCACCGCAAACCCCCCAAAACATCGGGTTGCTGCCGCGAGCGAATGGGCGGGCGCCTTATGTCATCGTCGCTGCATGTGCCTGGGTTATCCCCCATTGGGCCTGGGCGCTGTGATGGCTGCATGAACGATGGCCTGGAGGTGACACAAAGAAAACGCCGGAGAGAGAAACATTTCCCCCCCTGACCCTGACCCTGACCCTGGCACTCACAAGCACGCGGACGGGCAGGCATACTTCTCTACAGACAGGCCTCGATCTCTAGAGTACCTACACCTCTCTACATACACGCCCTCTCCCCCTCCCCCTCCCCCTCCCCCATTCCCCCTATCACGACCCTCTACACGCGCCCCCTCCCCCCCCCCCCCTATACAGAGACAGACAGACACCCCCCTCGCCCCCTCGCCACCACCATGGCCTCCTCCATCCCCCCCACGCCCATCATCGCGCCTCCCACGCCCGACACCGACGCCAGCAGCCCGCGCCACCCCAGCTTCTCGCTCCGCCGCGGCAGCAGCAGCACCACCGCAGGCCTCGGCATCGAGGGCCTCCCGACCCCCGAGTCCTCCACGTTCGACGCCGCGGCCCGCTCGCCGCCCACGGAGGACATCTTCCCGCCCAACTACAGCCTCGCCTCGACGCCCGAGCAGCCGCGGTCCACGCCGCCGTCGGCGTCGCTAAACAAGCGCGGCGCCGGCGGTGGCGGCCCGTTCAACTTCCAGCCCATGGTGGCCGCGAAGAGCCCGCCTGTTGGGAAGCCGGTGGGTGTTCCCCTGAACCCTTGGGGGGGGGGGGGGTTAGCCCCTTAATCGTGAACGTTTCTGACAAACAATCGTAGAACCAACGTCGTGGGCATAGATATAAGCACTCCTCCATCTCGCACCAGATCTTCCTCGAGCCGCCCCCGCGCGCGCCCCTCGTGCTGCCCGCCTCCCTCCCAATCCCCACGCGGGCCGAGCTCTTCCGCTCCATAACCACCAACCAGCGCACCCGGCTGCTATGGTGCGTCTGCCACCTCACCGTCGCCATGCTAACGCTCTACTCCGCCGCCGGCTCCCTCGCCGTCACAGCCCTCTCCCACCTCCTCGTCTTCGACGCCCTCAGCGCCTCCGTCTGCGTCGTCGTCGACGTGCTCTCAAACTTCGAGGTGTGGAAGCGCAGCAGCATCCGCCACCCCTTCGGCCTCGAGCGCGCCGAGGTGCTCGCCGGCTTCGCCATGGCCGTGTTCCTGCTCTTCATGGGCTTCGACATCATTTCGCACACCGCCGAGCACCTCGTCGAGGGCCTCTACACCGCCGAGGCCTCCCACGAATCGCACATGCACTCTGTCCGCGTCTCGCCGGGGTGCGTGGACCTCGCTGCCCTTGCCGCGCTCGCGAGCTCCCTCGTGTCGGGCCTCATACTCAAGAACCATGCGCGCATCGGCCGCGCAGTGCTGCAGTCGAATCCCTCGCATCTGTTGACGGTTGTGGCGTCGCTCACGCTGCTGCTCATCCCGCTGACGTCCGTGGGCTTCTCGTCGCTGCTTGATCGGGGGATGGCGCTCGGCATGGCGCTGGCAATGATTGCCATTGGCGTGCGGTTGGTGAAGGTGCTTGGGGGCATGCTGCTGATGAGCTATGGCGGGGCGGGGGTTGCGGATGTCGTGCGCGCGATCGAGGAGGATGAGGCCGTCACGGGCGTGGTGGACGCGCGCTTCTGGCAGGTCCACCATGGGCTGTGTATGGCGTGCTTGAAGGTTGGTGTTGCGGCGAACGCGGTGGGAGAGGTCGGCGAGAAGGGGCTGAGGGAGAGGGTGGGCAGGTTGGTGAGGGAGAAGTTGGGCGGCGGCAGCGGCGGCGCGGGGCCTGGACGGGTGAGGTGGGAGGTGAGCGTGCAGGTGACGGGTGGGAAGGTTTAGTGTAAGTGTAGATAGCACATGTAGATATGTAGCTGTGTCTGGGTAATGGTGGGTGCATGTGCGCATGAGGATGAGATATGATGTGTTTGTGACGTTTCTTCTCGCATTGAGTACAAGTATGTAGTGATCGATATATATGGCGTGTGGAAGTATGTAGTATATGACGCAGTAGAGGAGTATAGTAGCGGGCTATGTAGTATACTCTATAGTATTTGCAGCAGTTGAGCGCATGCAGTGTAGTGGCGTATAATAATAAACAGGCACGATCGATCGAGTAACCTAGCTTCTATATCTTATTCTTGTTATTATTATTGTTGTTGTTGTTGTTCCAGCACGAAGTATCACTCGGCCATCCATCCATCCGTCTCTACTAATTCGTCCCAAACGGGTTGCTGTTATTGCCAACTCCCTGTCCCAAACAGGAACGGTCTGGTGGCCTGATCTCAACCGCAGCAGCTTAGAGAAGACTAGCGGTGGTGCGGCGCGTTATCGCTATCGTTATCGTCCCCGCATGTTATGTGTGCGGGGTGTATGCGGGGTGTATGCGCTAGATCAACGCCAGATCAACGGGGGCCTCGATGTAGTGCGGGCCGGCCGATCGATTATGTGACGGTACCAGCTTGACTAGATCCAAAGAGTGCGGTAGAGTCTTATCTCGCCTTATTTTGCACCGCGCGGGTTGTTGGAAATTAACATCGACAAAGCCTAGCTCGAGCTATCCCTTAAGCTGTCGCGAAAATGCTGACCCACCAAAAAAAAAGAAAATTTGGTGTGGCTTCACTAGCTAACAGATCCCGTTAGATCTCCCATACAAATCTAATTCCTCTGTTATAGGGGGGGTCAGCAATATCGACAGCTTAAGGGATAGCTAGACCCAGTCCTGATATCTTGGTCCCGGGTCAGATTGACCAGGCACCGGGGGTTGGAGATATATCTCGGTGGCCTTGTATTTCTTTCCCCTAGGTCTCCAGACAACTTGGATGCATGTAGTGCCTGCTCATCGACCACGACTATATAATCACCAGCGGTGGTCACCCCAGACCTAGGTACGGTGCGAGCAGGCAGCATGTAGATGCTGTCATCGCAACTATCCACCAATCGTATATCGATAGGCAGTACAGTATACGTTTTGAGCTCTGCGTAAGAGTTCGAGAGTAGTAACCAATGTAGTGGTAGGTAGCACCCTGACGGAGAATTGAGCGGCTCCCTCCCTCAAGCGGGAAGATGGATATACCCCACCCCGTCATATCTGTCCCCTTGCCTTGTGCACTACATATTCCTCTTAAGATCTTCTCAAAGCACGCAGTAACGAAACGTATCCGACATCTTATAAATTACCTTATTCCCTAAGCCTTGTCTATATTAACGTACGTGTACGTGTAGCTACTAGTAATTGTGAGGGATGGAGATGCTCGTGGATTAGCGGAGAGGTTACTGTGACGAAATAGAGGACGTGCTTGGATGGTTTGCGTCTAAATGGCTTCTCGATATATATCCATCTAGTTACATCTAGCTAAAACAAGAAACAAAAAAAGAAAACATCTATTCTCTATCGCTCGCTCGCTTTTAAGACCAGCCCGCTCTAAAAACCGACACGACAAAAAGAAGGAAAAAACGATATAAAAAAAACAAAGCGAGAAATCTAAAATCTAAAACCGCTGATCTAGTCTAGAATAAAAAAAAGCCGTTCTAAAACGAAACCGTTCTAAAAAAGAAACCGTTCTAAAAAAGAAACCGTTCTAAAGAAGGAACTGTTCTAAAAAGAAACCGTTCCAAGAATCTAACCCCCCTTCTATGTGATAATCATACACTCGCCCCCTCCTCCTCCTCCGCCGGCTGATCCGGCAGACACTTGCCCCCCTCCCTGACATACTTGACCATCATCTGCGACTCGGCATGGCTATAGCTCCTATACTCGCCGCTCTCGCCATGCTTATAAAACAGATCCCACACCTCGAGCGACTCGAGCTGCAGATGCTCCTTCATAAAGCGCATCACATTATTCCAGCACCCGGTAAACAGCAGCCCACTGCTGATCAGCACCGTCCTCAGCGTGTCCTTGTGGCGCTCCAGGAACGAGATCAGCTCGTACTCATGCATCTCGACGGTCCACAGCTCCACCTTGCGCAGCGCCGGCCACACCTGCTCCTCGCCAAAGATGTGCGGAAACAGGAACGAGTCCGCCGGCACCGTGTTCCCAAAGCCCAAGCACAGCTCCTCGAGCTGCTCGGCCGGCGCCAACACGTTGAGCAGCGCGCTGCTCTTCATGTTATCGATCGCCTCCTGCGAGTCGATGCCCAGATACAGCTCCATCACGCGGCAGCCCTTCAGCACGGCCGCCGCGCGCGCCAGGAGCTCAGCGTCCTCAAACACGGCCTCGTGCACAATCTCGTCCGTGTTCATGCCCGTCATCTTGAAGGACGTGAGCCGCGTGCCCGCTGCATATGCGGCGTCAATCAGCGCCGCGAAGCCGCGGAGGTAGTCCTTCTCGAGGCCGTGCTCGCCGTGGAACTTGTCGCGCATCTCGAACTCGTAGTAGTCGATCTCGCGGTATGTGTACTGGCGCTCGCGGGCCATGGGCGCGCCGTGGACCATCTGGATTGCCTCGAGCCGGGGCAGCGCGGCGAAGGCGGTGGCCATCATCTGGGTGTGGTCGGGCGACGTCTGGAAGTCGTACCAGCCGTCGATGGTTGACTTGAAGATCTCCTGGGCTCGGGCGTCTTCGGATTCGTCGTGGGGGGTGTTCTCGAGACGGAGCTGCGAGTTGAACTCTTCCCAGATCATGTAATTTGGCTCCTCGATGCCGTAGATCAGGCTCTTCACATGGCGGGCTAGGTGGGGTCGCTGTGCGATCGCGACAAGGCGGGAGACACTGAGCTTAGTTGGTTTCAGGGGCACTGTGCGGAAGAGGAACTCAGTGGAAAGCTGAGCGAGAGAGCGCTGGACGAGACGGAAGTTGGCAAGGTCGGCTTTGCAGTCAAAGTGACAGAGGATTTCGCGGACGATTTCGGGGCTGAGTTTCTCCATCGTTGCAATACTAGCGCCACCCGAGGTTGAGGATTTTCAGGGGGGGGTGAACTGTGATCGTTAGAACAGCTAGAAAGCTTGAAGGAGAAAAAAAAAATAACAGGCAGACAAACCCTTGATACGCAGGAATCGAATCTAGAAAGAACACAAAGATGTGCTAATTTCGTAAATAACAAAAAAAAAAATTGGTGTTGATAATATAAGGGGGGGAAACAGAAAGGGCTGCCTTGCGAAAAACTAAGCTTTGCCTTTGTTCCTAAATCCTGTATTGAATAGCCTGTTAGCCAGCTAGCTCTTGTAAGTAAGAAGATAGAAGGATGTACCTTGATTCCAAGTAACCTGTGTTTTGGAGCTCGAGTGACTTGTTCTGTCGCGCAGGTATTGGGTGTATACTTAAGTATAAACAAGAAAGAGAGAGCTGCACATGCTCGGATGTATGGGAGAGGCCACGGTTATTAAATTTTTTTTCTTTGCAGTTTTTCTTTTTTCCTTTTTTCTTCTTTGGCTGCGCTGGCTGCAAGGGGGGAAATACTGACAGCCAATCGCCGCCGCACTCGAATCTATTTTTGCCTCGGATTGGGCTTAGTTTAACTGAGTGTGGGGGGGTTAAAAGATCCGCCTCGCGGCTCTTGTGGTGATTGGCAGATAGGATTCTAGAAACACAGCCGAAAGGAGAAACAAGTGGATACAGATACAGTAAGCAAGGGTAAAAGACCCTCGTACAATTTGCAATGATAAGGAAAGGAAATCTCCAATTTTCAAAAAGGCTGTCCTGTTTTAAAGTCTTTCCCATAAAATTATCCGAAGCCTTCTTGGTTTAGGCCCCGCAGTTGTTTACATGTACTTATTGCTGTCACGTGCATACTCCACGTGATGGGCGTCGTAATCATGAAATATCACTCGATACGCGTTTCCCTCATTGTTGTTACCGTTGTTGTTGTTAACTGCTTCCAAGACCCAAGAACTAATAAAAGTCAAAGATTACCATTGAATCTATCTTTAGCGTTCTCATGCTCAAAATTGGTATTCCAACACCCATGTTATTAGATCTAGCTTTTTCGGGTCTTAATATTGGCAGATATATTAGTCCCGTAAGAGTAACGACTTTCGGACCGCCAATCATGTAATTCATCTGGTCATTCCAACGCCCACACCCAGAATTTCTCCGAGAGAAGCCCTCCAACTATGCATTTCAGACTAAAGCAGTGAGTGTTTGTCGCCTCACCCGGCATTATAATAAACTAAAACTGAGGAGTTTTCTGTGACTCTCGCTATTTGCGGGGGCTGTCGAATACTGTGAATAAAACCATACACCCCGGTCGTGGGCAATGGCCCTGAAGATCTTCATTTGAATTATTTCGGAGGATTTGCGGCCGGGCTTGTAAGACCAGAATGAGGACGCACTGAGAGGTCATCATTAATCCTAGACGGCATGATGCTCGCTACCAGTATAGTTGATAGGCATGCATGAGACAAGACCCCTCGGTCTCAGTCTTGGTGCACATCCCGACATCTGAGAAATGAAAGTAGGCTGATGATGAATTTATCTCAAATGTACTCGAAAACTGTTGGTGTAGTATGATGCCCCCGGGAGAGCTTAAATTCGGACTTGGCTGATTGTGTGTTTACTAGATGCCTATGGATAGTGGATTAGTACATCAAACGAACTTAAAATTCAAGATATGATGTTCAAAGGGCCCAATCATTACCCGATAATCACTCTGAATCCTCTTAAGGCCCTCGGGTGTGACGTTGGTACCCAGATAAAGTCGAACAGTCTCTCCTTTTGTCTCGTCTTGTTCAAGCCGCCAAGTTAAGTTGATGGCCATTACCATGGAATCAAACACTCCTTTATCATTCTACCACTCTCGCTTCGCTTCCTTCAGAGAACTGGGATGGTAAACTGTTTTTATACTGCGCCCTGGAAAATCCGAAGATCAAGGTAGATTTTCGCCGCTCACCGTCCAGTCACTACTCTTCTCCGGGATCTTTACTCGGGGACGCATAATATGTGGTTCTATCATGGATTTCTGGTAGATATCCTAGGCCGTGTGACGGGGGATCTGTTCTATTCGATGGCGAACAAACGCGAGTGATATTCCATGTCGCAAAGCACACATGCACATTAGACTGCCACTGTGCAGCTGCAACAGAACACTCTCGAAGCCCATCTTTGTGCATCGCAGGCCCTGACGAATCATGACCCTGGCTCAACGATCAGGGCTAGGGGAAGAAAAGTAGCGAAGGGTCACTTCAGCCGCAATACCCGTATCCTAGTCATGACGTCAGCCCCCGTCATCACTGACCTCACGCTGATCTCCTCCTCCCCACACAACAATAAACAAGAGCTTCGACCTAGCGTTCCCAGGGTTAGAGGCAGAACATTCTGCCTCGAGAAAGCTTGTTTGGAGTAGCTGTCATGCATGCTGGGGTTTCTTTCAATTGATAAATTGATAAGTAATCATCAACTAAAATGGCCGGAATAAGGTGCATATGCTCATGGGTGTTTATCTATTTCTAGAGCAACCTTTCTCTCAACTAATTGCAGCCAATTAATGGCCTGAGAAATCTTGATTGATTCGTCTCCGAGGCAACAGAGATCAGAGAGTTGCTCGATTGAGGTCATAGCTTACCTGCTCTGCTGTGAAAGCCGCCCCATGTTTTGGTTCCCGGCCTTGATCTTGGTTATCCACCCTCCTAATTGCACATGCCGTGATACCGATAAAAAATGATCAGAAAATCAAGCAACCGGCGACCGTTACGTAGCCGTGGCTCCCCCCGGTGATGGTGGGATTATATATACTGACTCTGTGAGCCCGTTTCTCGAGATTTACTTTAGCATTTTCAAAAGTAACATTACCACCACCATCACTACTACTACTACATTACTACAATCAATCTTCGACTAAATAAAACAAAATATAAAAATATAAAATAAGCAATCATGGAAACAGTCTACAACGCCGCCAATGCTGCCAGCAAGGCCCTCTTCGGCGAAAACACAAACCCAAATTCCCAAAACCCCAACCAAAGCCAGAACCGAAACCCAAACTCAGTGACCACGGACACGAGCGACTACGACCGTCCCTCCGCCTCAGAGACAAATCCCTTCCGCCAAAGTGGAACCGACACTGACAGTAACAACCCATTCCGCTCCGCAACAGGCTCCACAACAAAGCCATTCGACTCTACAAACACTTCCGGGTTCGGCTCACAACACACCGCCACCTCCGGCAGTGGCGGCCATGAAGTGCTAAATAAGCCATATGACTCTGGCGTTGGGTCTCTTGAGAAATCAGCCGCGAGAACCTACGACCAACCCTCAGGAAATGATTTCGATCAGCCATCCACTGCCGGTGTGTTCGCAGAGCACTCAAGCAACTACGGAAACAACCCGGCTAGTAGCTTTGACAAGCCCACGACCACCACCAGCACCTTCCGGAAGACGTCAATTGGTGACCTTAACAAGGATGGTGTGCGGCACGAAACCAGCGATCTGGACAAGGAGAGGATGGGGGTTCACTCTAGTAATCCTACCATCAGCAGTATCAATGATCACAGCAACACTTTCTCTTCAGATCACAACAAACCTGTCACAAGTCGTTTCTCAGAAGACACAAACACCTCGCATACCAGCACCAGCACCGGGACTGGGACTGGCGTCCTAGGAGGAGTTGGTGCATCTCACGAGCACCACGCACCGACCAACAGAGACTTCTCGCAGACTTCGACGACCGACCACTCTAGTCTTTCCCGCGACTCAACCACCACCAACACCCCTCACCACCAATCTGGAGCACCCGCACAGGGCTCTAACATTCAATCCCTCGTTGATCCCAACCCCACCACCTCTACCTCTGGAATCTCGTCCACCTCCAAGCCAACATCTACCAACAGCCCTGCCGCCACCGCCGGTTCCGCAACCCACGGCGCCGCCAACAGCGGCCTCGAAACCGCAAATGCAGCGCCAAAATCTGTCACTGGTGCCGCCGGCAGTGGGCCCGGCGCAGCCGTGGAACCAAGCGTAGGAGCCCACCCAGGGCACGCACAGCAACAGACACCAAAGCAGCAGGGTGCCGACAGACCACTCGAGGAGCCTTCCAACACCTCCTCCACTTCTACGTCTAAGAAGGATACCGGAGCGCCGGAACCTTTGGGTTCGGGGGCACAACATGAGGAGCAGAGTCAAGGTACCGGTGAGAAGTATGAGAAGTCTACTGGTGTCGCGGCGGAAGGCGGTGATTTTGATGCCAGCCGACCGGGCGCTGGGAGGGAAGCTGAGTAAGTTGATACCCTTGTGACTTTTTTATGGGATTGATTGGATGCTAACTATGGATGTTACTAGTCGTCTTCTCGATGAGAAGGGTATTCACCATGGAAAGGAGACGAAGCCAGATACCTCCGATATTACTGCTGGCGCAGGACATAGCAAGCTCCTGCCTGGACATAAGAGCCACGCGGATACACCGAAGGATCATCATCATGATAACCAGACTACGTCGCCGCCCTCAGACAGCGGATCATCGGGTCATAAGGGATTGGCAGAGAAGATTAAGGGTGAGCTTTTCTCTTTGGATGTGCGGTTGTGATTGATCCAAATGGTGGACTAACCTAACCTTTGATACAGAGAAACTTCATATTCATCACTAAAGTGAGGTAGTATAATAACGTTTCCGTTTCTTGATTTAGTTTAGTTGGCTTGTTTTTTGTTGCTGTATTATGAAAAGGAATGTATGAATACTACGAGTAAAGAAAGAATAAAAGAGTAGTTCAAGGATGCATATGCTTTTTGGTTGTGCTATCTCAGAGCTTTAAGTAGGTAGTGGCTGACAATGCATTAAGTGGTGCATGAACCATACTGGTGAAACACTGTCTAGATAGTCCAGGCACAGGCAGTGAGTTTTGAACCATTATTAGAGAAATCTACGAGAACCACAATGCCGTCTATACAAACCGAATAATTTTAGGGGTGCCAAAGGTCTAAAATGGAGTATTTTAGCCACACCCGGTTTCCAAATTTCGAGCTCAAATGTGGAAACCGGATGTGGCCAAAATGCTCTAATAACTGAAATTAAATGTCAGCAATCAGATGACATGCGAACGGGGAAGAAAGATCTTGTGTGGAAATTTATTCCAAATAAGACATGTCAAGCGGGCTGGTCGGTCAGATAGTTTTCTCACCCGCTGCACCTGCAAGACAATCCACTAAACCTGATACGACTTCGACGTTAGAGTTGAAGCTGAGGTTTGGAGGATTATATCAATCTAAACGCTGCTGGAGAGATTTTATACCCTCACAATCTCACTTGACCAATGGAAAAGATCCAAAATGTCACGAACTAGGGGCATGACTTCGTTGGAATGACACGGGATGTAGAATCACCCCCTGCCCCACAGCGTAGCATGAACGTACTAACTGCTCCTCTTTCCAAGTGCAAGGACTGACCGTGCGGATAACATGTAGCGCATAGCAACTAGCTGTAGACACACAACGGATGAGTACCTCCTACTATAGATATGGATTTTGCGATCTCTAACGTATGTTTCGTAAGCCTGGTTCCATGGCTGGGAGGAGTATCGGACTGGAAGTTTGATGACACCTAGTCTACGAGGGATTATCTGATCATAACTGGATGCGCGTGCGAGTTGTTCCATGATCCTGTTATGATGAGCTAATCCTTCTTGCGCGGCCCCCGGGGGGGGGGGGGGGTAAATTAAGTCGTGCATTTTACAGCTCCCACGGCTATTATATTACGGCCTAGCTGATCATTGGTTGTGTCATGTTTTTCAATTGGGGAGATTGATATTAACGTTCCCGATCGTGAAGAGAAGAGGCGGCTGTAGTCAATTAGCTTGGATTCATGGGATTGGGTATTTCGAGGAGGGTAGAGTACTCACTCGTTAATTAAAAGGTCGGAAGTACATAGTTTTTGCAACCAAATCCCCACACCTTTTAATTAGAGTCTTTTAGCTGCAAGAGTTGGAGCACTTCGACAAAAATCCTGCACATCTTATTGGTTGGACGACCGCAAGTCTCTTCCTAAAACAGCTAGACTTTCTGTCCAACCTGCTCGACTTTCTGTTCAACTCGCGCAGCTAAAAGACTCTATTAACGTGAGTAAGTACATGTATCCCTTAGTCTGGCAATGCTGACCACCCTATAATAGAGGAATGAAATTTGTATGGGAGATCTATTATTTGATAAGAGAGATAACAAGATCTGTTAGTAAAGCCACAGAAGAATTTGCTTTTTCTAGGGGGGTCAGCATTTTTTGCCAGACGAAGGGATAAAAGAGCTTAGATTATCTCTGCGCCTAATCCGGTGTAGAACTAAGTGCTGCAGGTTCTAGGCGCTAGATCTGATTCGCGCCATTGCTGTTGGCATGGATAAGCCACTAGTGGGGCTCCTTATTATTTTGTCTGTATTGGGGGTTAAATAGTAGGACTAGACTGTCTTGGCAAGACATCTAGCCTTCTGCATGGACTACATAGTTCTCTCCATTCAACACGTAAAGACACCTTCCTATATATTCCATCTATGTCCACCAATAACCCAAAAGTCTCTTGAGAAAATTGCAGATTAAATAGGAGCATCTTACATATTATGCATAACGAAACAATTGTACAAGAGAACCCAAAAAGAGAGCGTTAAAGTAAACAACCCATGCATGATATACAAATGAGACCTAGATCAAGTATTGTATATAACGAGACTAAAGAAATTAAGAAAGAGTAAGTTAAGGAAAACAACCTTAGATATGAATGTGATCCAATGTAAATGTAGAATGAATAGAGAATAAGAAAGCCCTGTAAATGAGATGAAACCCCTTAGGAATACTAGCTCCGAGAAAATGCCTGCTAGACTTCTAAAATTTAAATACAATAAAATTGTACAATATTCATTGGCCAATTGAAAGATATTTTATGCCAATGTTGGGATCAAGCTCTCACACCATGTCGTCGACGGAAACACGCCGAGGAGTATTAGTAAAGGGAGCTGCAATGGCGCCTGTTGGATTGCTCAAATGATTAAAGCTTCGATCAGCGTGTATTGTAACCAGAGTTTCGGTATCTTCATTGGCTGATGGAGGCTGGGTAGATTCGACGGGGTCCAGTTGATTCTCTAGAACTACCAATGGGGTGGCGGACGTGTGAACTATGGGGTTCTGGTTGACTAGAATTTGGGAGGCTCGCCGAGAGATACTAATTTCAATTTGCAATAATTGGTTTCCTAGCTCTTGTAGCTTGGCATTCTAAAGTTCACAGATTAAACACAATAAAATAAAGCGGAAGCAAGACATTACGTACTAACTCACTTGCGTGAAAATGTGTCCGAACTCTTTGCTCGATTCCAAGTATAAAAAATACAAACAAAGAAATCAAGGCAATGATTTCACCAGTATTGAACTTTGGTTTTGCCGTATGTATATGCACGTTGTTCAGCTCTAGATCTAATGTCGACTGCATCTTTAAGTTGCTCGAGATTAAGGAATTGGTAGAATGACCACGATCCAATTTAAAAGTTTATATGTATTTAGAGAAAGCCTGGATAACTGTGACTGAGATCGATCGTGCGGGTAGCTTTGAGGAGACTGAATAATAAAAGGCTGCTGCTTATATATACTTACTTAATTACAGATATCCTGCCATTTTGGGAGAGAAAACTGCCTTCGAATCATGACCATGCATGGCATATAGCTAGCTAATTATCGGCGACCGAAAGCTAGGTCACTTCAGAACCGTAGCTATAAGCCTATGGCATACAAGGCTTTCATGTACCTATATAACAAGATAACCCTAAAAACGCACGTCTCCTACCTGAACCATGCATGTAATAATAAATACGTAATACTATACTACATACACTATGTATATATATTTGCCCAAAACCTTCTCAGCACCGGCCTCAAGGGAAAATTACACCTCGCTTCGTGAAAAATATCTCCTCTCACGTATATCAAAGCACAATTACCACAGCTGATTTGATCATTGATTTCGATTTGAACTGGAATGGCCGCCTGAGGGATCCCTGGCCGGCCCGTCTCGAGTCTGCACGGGTTTTTGGAGACTTTCGGGCCTATTAATTGTCCAAGATAGAAAAAAGGAATATTTCCAGAGGGGGGTCAATATGCAGTCTTGTTAATATTTATGCCAAATCAATATATTTGCTTTGCTTGAATTGTATATACACCAGTATTATATTGCACTTTCAACAGCAAAATACAATTTAAGTCTAATTATATAATGATACATAGTAATTGTCTGCCTCGAGCAGCTCAAGCACCTCGAGGCATCGCCTCTCTTTGCACAAACAAGCAATTAAAGGTAGGGGCCGTATATATATACGAGGTAGAGGCACCTCGAGGCATTTGCCTCTGCTGGTCTTGAGCAGCCTCGTGGATTAACCACACTAGTCCAATCACAGTGGCTTGTTTCTAGACCCGGAGACGTAGTGATCGATATTAAGATCGATCCAGAGTGGTGATAGCAGCTAGAATTAATGCTAGGCTCAATATCTAGGGGTATCACATTTTTTTTAAAAACAGGATTTTCTTCTGCCATGTGTAGTAAATTGACAGGCCTAGGTATGGGCATATGCATCGTCATTGGGAAATTTCGAAATCAGATATCCCTGTGTACAACAATTTGGGTGGCGACGGGATAAGTCATTCGGTCTTTAGGGATATGAAATGATATATTTGCCTGTTTTGTGGCCCGGAGTCGATAAGATATCCTGACATGATGGATACCCTGAGGATATCTTTCATAGGGGATAGATATATCGGCCTTGTAGGATACCTGAGAATTATCATGAACTTTCATGGCTTCACCACAGAATCAGCGCGAAATGATTAAACCATCGACCGCCTCCATCAACCAGGCCATGCCTTAAAACCAACTATTCCATCATCGGGGCTGTAAAAGTTGGGAAATACAATCATACAAAGAAGCATCTGCACATCAACCGGGCAGAACATCACCCCCGCCGTCCTTACAGGACACCTTGGAGTCTTTCATCCATTACTATCACCATTACCTCTACCATCATAGGTTGTGGGTGCTGGAGGCTGTTAATTGGGCCCATGGGATCCGGACTTAGAGGTTTACAGGCGCCCCGTATCGTTATTATTATACGGTACCCGCGGCCACCTTGTATGACTACCCAGTGTGCTATCTCCGCCTGTGGACTACCCCGCGGCTCGTACCCTCATGTAGGCTGCTGTCCCATACCCTGCAGAGATAACTCATCATTGTGCAGTGATTAGTACTAGTTAGTGGTGCACCCGCAGTTAAGTGAAATAGGTGCACCGGTGATGAGATATATATCCTATTAGATCTGCTAGATGTCATAGTATATATCTGATTTTGATCCTCTACTTCTGATTAGTTATCCATTATCCCTTAAGCCGACGTACGTCAGGTCGAATCTCAATCATGTTACTCAACTGGTCGATGCGCAAGTTGTGATTTAAAAAGCTATATGAGTGTACACATGTACGTGATAGATCACCTAGCCATTGACACTTCTATGCGATGTTTACATCACGACTTAAGTTCAATCCGTAACATATTATAATATTATTGGGTTTGATCAGTAATACGAGTACTGAGATCCAGCCTGGTCTGACGGCTTAAGGACCGGATATCCT